TTAATGCCTGGATTTGAATTGGGAGGACTCAACTGAGGTTCACTTGATTTCAGTACCTTGATTAGTACTTTTCTGTTAAGTTTGCTTTTATCATACCACCCATTTGAAAGCGGTAGTTTCTTCTTCCAGCAGTTTCCAATACCATTGTTCAGCTCCGGAGCCTCCAGGATGGCTACTGCACAGGTACAGTCAAGAAGGCAAGACCTCCTGCATTCTGTCTCGTTTACAGGCTGTAGGTGTTCATAGTCACTATAAGGCCAATCTACAAAAGGCATTGAACTGAAATCAAAACGATTCTCCCCAATAACGGAGCCATCCTCAGTACAGTCTTCTGGGTAGCTCTGGTAGTTTGGCTTGCATCCAAAGTGCTGATTCTTTGCATCTAGGAAAGAAAACCCAAATGGGCACTGGCAAGCAGCCCTTCCATCTTGGTCATGTTGACAGATACTGTTGTGCCCACAAGGCCCGCTTCCCAGAGGAGTATCTTTACTCAAAAAGCTGAAGCAGATATCCTCTGGTGTATACCACATGGATGACCAACTTTCGTCCCCATTGGAGGCTCTGGAGTGAAAATACAGGGTGAAAACTCCATCAAAATCAAGTGTAGCCCTGTAGTAAAAACCCTGTATTGGGATTGTATTTTTTGGTGCAATGTTGACAGTACTTCCATCTGATTTCCTGATCTCGATATAACTGGAGGATTTGTTGAAAATCAATCCAGAACCATCAGTGATGTTGAAGTAAAACTGGAAAGATTTCCCTGTGTAGACGTCTATTTGATTGAGGACTAGAGATTCGGAGGTGAAACGGAGTTGAAATTTCCCCTTCTTATAGCTTGTTGCGGAGAAAGGTGATGAAAGAGTGCTGTTTAGGCCTAGTTCTTGTCCTGGCAATATGGTGTCTGTTGGATTTTGGAAGCTCTCCCATATGTTGTCTGAATTCATGCTTGTGATGACAAAATTTCCAGTATCCAGCATGGCTGCATGGGATACTCTTCCAGTGCCATCTTGGATGTTGTTAGACCACCAAAGCTCCATGCCAGAAGGAGCTCTGAGCACTAGGCCACTGGAGGTGAGCTCAACTCTGGATTCTATCTCTACAGGGTTGTCTCCATTTGCAGACCAAACTATGGTTTTTTGGGGTATGTTGGCGAACCAAATGGCAAGGAGGAATCGATCTTGTTGGTCTGGAACACGGCGAAACCCAAGTTCAAAATCACCGGATGGTGATTGCCATGTAAGATTTCGATCATTGGCAGGGAGAGAATCGCCCACGCTTACATTGCGGGAACCACCTTGAGCAACTGCAAGGACCAAGAAACTACTTAGGAGGATGAGGAATGGATTCCGAATAAGCGCTATAGATGAAATCATGGCATGGCACGGCATTATGGGGAATCTGCTTCTTCAGATGAACTTTGTGGGAAGCAATTATAAGCTGAAGTTTCAGTTCAACACGGTAATTGCTTTGACTGCTTACATTCATGCATGACCAAATTATTCATGTGAAGACAAAAGCAACATCATTCAGGGAAGGTGGAAAACCCAAAAAAGGTGCATGCATCTTCTAAAAAATCCCAGTCTATTAAGAAACCTTAAGAAAAATCTCCATTATAATTACAATATTTCACATAATTATAAGTTTATAATTTTAATGTGATATTAAAAAATGTAATATATTATTAAATAAATACATATTTATAATATTATAAATAAATTTTTTAAAAAATAATTAATTAATTATCAATAACATATTATATTAAAATTATAATATTATATAATATTATAATTATATTATTTTTATATAAAAAAATAAAATAAAATTTCATTCTTTGGCCGCCTACTTTATTCACTTTTAGAATTCAATGTCATGGGCTGCATACATAGCTAAGTCCAAGACGTTATCTCAATGTCAAGTCCGTATTCTCTCATTCTACATCCAATCAAAAATGGTTTTCAAAGGTCTTGATTGAAGGCGAAAAAATGGTTCCATTTTCAGACGTCCTTGGATCTTACGGAGCTGTGTCTCGTGGATTGATTGATGATTTTTGTGGCAGAAGCTTCATGTATTTTTGAGCTGGTTTCTCCCTGACCCCACCCATATTCCTTCCCATCAATATCACAGAATTACGAATGCAAGGTGAGACGAGAACATGGTTGCATTGTCTTGTTTGAATCACCGTTTCTCGACTTCAATAGTCAAATGCTAAAGCTAGGGCATATAAATTTGTAGCTTTAATTTTTACCGTTACATTTTTAAATTTGACAAAATTTATTAATCATTTGAATAATGTGCCAACTAACTTGCTCTAGATTCCTTGTTTTTTGCATGCAAGGAAAAGGCAGATATTTTCCTTGCTCT